GTAACTTCTATGCCAATATGTGACGAGTGAATTTCTCCGCTGTGAGATCAATACAGCTCATCTAATCTAATATAATCTAAAGATTAGACCTTTTAAACCTTTTAGACAGAGGTCAGAGTACTAGAGTTTATTGTATATATTAAAGGACAGAGTTTCGTGAATTTACATCTGATTTTTGTATTTCATGCTGATATTTTTTGCTCTCTCAAAGGTTTTGTGACAGCAATAGAGGCCTACAGCCACAATCCAAGGATGTTTCATACTGGAGGAGGAGAGGCCAGGACTTCAGTGTGCTGCTAGACTACGCTGACATCAGGGGACCACATGCAAAGGGACACGCAGGGCATATCAGGCCAGAGGGACCTCAGCAGGCCAGAGGTCAAGAGCTCTCTGTTGAGGACCGTCAGAGAGCAGCTCAGGAAAGGCAGCGTTGGGCGGCCCAGGCCCAGGCTCAAGCCCTGGCTCAGGCACAGGGCCGCTCTAAAGAAAGGGAAGCCGCTCTCCAGCAATGGAGAATGGCAACCGAGAGGAAATGCCAGAGCCTGGGGACTGAGGAGTGGCATCCAGCTGTGAGCTTCAGCCGACAGATGTCTCAGAGCGAGGGGGAGCGCTGGGCACAGGAGCAGCAGCGGCTCCATGCCAGAACACCAGAGGGCATGGTAGTCCACCCGAGGACCAAAGCTAAGTCTCAATCCCTTCCCAGGATGTTGCAACCCGAGAGCCTGCAGTATGTCGACATAGCGCTGTCTGGCAAGGAAATGTACAGGCGGGTCAACGGCCACCCTCTGTCTAACCAAGACTTTTATCGAGTCCCACGGTGGCCAGAAAATGGGAGGCCAGCTAGCGCCAACCAGCTCTCAATCACACCAAAGGCCCGATTCACCCGACCCCCCAGACCTCCTTCTTACGAGATGCACCAGCAGATCAGGGGAAGCTGTGAGGTGCTGTCCGGCAGAGAATCAGTAACTCCCCAGGCAAGGGACCGAACTCCTATTCCCACATCAAGAACTAAAGATCCACAGTTGGATTATTTTGCACAGGACTCTGGGCCCCCAGGATATATCCCCCCTCCATCATATAAAAGAGCTCCATTAATGGGAGGAGCCTTCCGAGGATATGGCGATGTTCCTTTTGAATACAGGTTGTTATCATTTTATTACTTAATCAATTCTTTAAGACATTATTTGCAGTCTAAATAAGCCTAAACATGGAAAAACAAGTTTAGAATATTGATATAATCATCTCTTTATCTATAAAGCGATTTCATTCAAAATGCTGAACAATATGAAATGATTTTTTTATTTCCAGTATGTTTGTCAATGGAAGTTTGAAAAATGTCTTAATGAAAAAAGATTTTGAGAGTAACTTTGTTTTAATATATTTTATATTTAGATTTTTTTTTTTTTTTTCTAATTGGTACTTTTACGTTTTTTACAGATTTAATGTTTTCAAACTTTTATTGTTTAAATTCAGTTTTGCAAGTTGCATTTTTTTTTTTCAAACTGCCTGTCAGTCTGTTAGGGTTGTTAAGTTTCCCCAACTTTAACCTATAAAGAATGAAACAAAGACAGTTTAAGATTTTTCCTGACCGTGCTTTGCAAAGCGGAAGATATACAGAGCTTTAGGATCACTCTGTGCATCTTCGTCTTGCTCTACACTTGCAGGCTTATTTATTGAACAGTCAACACATTACAACAGCAGGTGTTAGTTTTGATTACGCAATCTCTTAGACATAGGATGAACTTTTAAGATAGGGAACATGTCTGGTTTCAGTATACGCTTTTAAAAAAGGTGTCAGGGGTTATGAACTTCAACTTCTGTGTTTCTCAAATGAAAAGTAGGAAAGCATTCTTGCAAAACATTTGACCGTCTTATGACCTGCATACACTATTTCCACTGATGACAGTAACATAGAAAAACAAATGATTAAAAGCAATATAAAAGATATAAATGAATAAAATGATAAAAACAACAGAAATCATAATAACTCCAACACAGTTCCAGAAGCACGATCTGTACCATCAGCTCATTTGCTCATGGGCAACCAGATATAAATCCGGTTGTCCATAAATAATGTAATTGTGGTACTAAAATTACAAATTTCTATCCGTAACTCACTAAAGAATGCTAATACACATCTTTAAAAAATGTTTCTGAGATAATTTTGATGCTTTTTCTCCATTAACCTCCATCTCTGACGTCATCGTCAGACATGCTCAGAGTAGTCCGGCCAAATATGATTAAAACATGTTTATCTGCATTTTAGTTGTTACTTTTTTAGATTACACACTATAAACCGTAATGTTGATACGAAAGGAAACTCAAAAAGACAAGATTTTTGTTTACATTTAAAGCTCAAAAAGTTAGCTCGCCGAAGTAGCGTAGCGTAGCAGCGTATCCCATTTCCTGTAGGCCTACATATCGGCCAGAGGGCAGTGATACAACAGAAAGGACTTTAAGGCATTTATTTTATTAGGAAATACATTATTTACCTTTAACACATTATATTTTAATTTGCTTACTATTTTTGGGGTGGAAAAAATGTAATTAAGGTCTTTTTTACAAAATAAAATCGGACCCAGATGTATATCTGGTTGCGTATGCACAAATGAGCTGATGGTACGGATTCTACCCTGGACAGTAAAGCTAACACTTGCTTTGTTCATACAAAAATCCTAATTAAATATTAACCATCATTTTAGAGCATATGGCTACTGCTGTCAGAAGAAATTCATGACTGTGTTAAACTGACTTCTTTAATTGTGACTTATCTTAACCAATTTTTACTGCTTTAAGAGAACAGCCATTAGCCTGAAGATGCTTTGCTAACGTTGCTAGCCACATCTGGGAAGAAAACAGTCTCAAGGGGCGGGGTTGCTTTAAAAGTAGCCACAGCGACAGACAGCTTAATTTATTAGATTGGTTCCAGTCTCAAACTGACTAAAGTTCACATGAGGACACAGAAAGACATCTGCATGCGAGTGGGAGAGAGGCTATGATTGCAGGGAAGGAGCATGCCTTAATGCATGTGACACATTGAGTGGCCGTATGGTGTTATTAAATCTGCATGCATAAAAACGTTTACAAACATATATGTGGAGAGTAATTTATATGCATGTGTTTTAAATCAAGCTGCTCATATCAGTATTTAATACGTGACTGCACTTATGGCAGAATTCTGACTTCATAATTTAGGCCTCTTTGGCTACGTTCACACTGCAGCCTAAAGTGACCCAATTCCGATTTTTTTGCCCATATGTGACCTGTATCTGATCTTTTTATGACAGTCTGAACGACACAGATCGGATTTTTTCAAATGCGACCCAGGCCACTTGGATATGTGGTCCTGAATCCGATACGTATCTGATCTTTTCAAATGCGACCTGTGTCTGTACGGCCAGGTCGCATTCATCCGACCTACACGTCATTGATACTTGACAAATGTTACTAAGGCTACGTTCACACTGCAGCCTGAAGTGAC